TATCACATGGGAAAAAAAACACAATATATTACATTCAAACTATTAAAACCAGAAAGCAACTGAAAACTTTGCTTGAGAATGAAATGCTGAAAAAATATATACGGTGCCTTCTAAACTAATAAACTTGGTTTAACAATTATGAAATTTTTTTACAAGAATCATGAGGGAATGAACATATGGAGAAACACCGTACAAAAAATTTTAACAGCAGCTGAAAATTGTAGTTATTTATTTACATGCTATTGGCAGATGGCATTGGTCGAAGTAAGACCAAAACTTGCAGAGCTGAGAAACCAGGCAAAATGTTGACAACAGTTTGATTCAATTCCTGTCATTAAAATGAAACCAAAACTGGAATTGCTGAACTTTAAATATCATATCACACCCCTAACAACAATTTATGCAGCGAATGATTGAAACCTAAGAAGCCATTTCAAACTTTCTGAAAATTCTTTTCTATTTCCATAAATGCTCAGACATCAAAGACTGAAAGATCCCTCTATTCCACTTCACAAAGGGGTTGAGTAAAGACCTTGAGTTCAAAATTACCCATATACTTCTGTGATTCTTGAATTTGCCAAACAGAATCTGCTGCAGCTGGTGATGAATGACTGACCTCAATCACCTGCAGAGTTTGGATATCTCCAATGCTAGGTGGTATTTCCTCCAGTACGAGACATCTATGCAGCACCAAGTGCTCGAGGCAAGGGAAGCTGCTACTCGAGGCAATCCAGCGTTGAAGATTTGTATGTGAAAGTTTCAAGAATTTGAGATGATGAAACCCCTCATCACTAGTTTCCCATTGCTGTCCATTGAAGAAATTGTTTTTCACTTTTAGAACTTCTAAGTTTGGCAACCTCCCAATGGTTGACATCTCTTTCCAATCCAGACTACCTATCAGAGTCAGCTTCTTCAAGCTTGGAGGAAATGAAGTTGGCTGAGGACTACTGTAACAGAACTGTAGTGTTCCCCAAGTTTGAATATCAAATTTTAATGTTTCCAGTAGTTTTAAAATGGAAAGATCAGGGAACAGAAAATCTTTAGCAGTGTTTGAAAAAGATAGATTGCATCCTAAGTTTACTAGGTTGGGCATCTTTGCCAATATATCCTTGATACAACTTGAAGGACATAACTGAGAAATGGTTTGCAGATTGTCCAGCATAAAGGGACTTGAAGAACTTGAACAGGCTCTTTCAAATTCCAGCTCCCCTGAAATGTGCAAATGCCTTAGGTTTACCATTTTCCAAATGTCATGTGGTAAGGTGACAGTTGCCCCCTTTTCTGTGACAAGAATGAAGGTTTCCAGGTTCCAAAAGTTACACAGGAGTGGAAGCTTCCTCAGGGAAGGAATATTAAGTGACAAGTACTTCAAATGAACCATCACTAATATCTCTTGAGGAAAGACTTGTAGGATGATGTTTTCTAAATCCAACACTATGAGAAGTTTTGTCACTAATGATTCCGTCTTAGGAAAACTTATCCTCAAGTCTTTCAGAGAATCAAAGAAATGATAAGGTGGATCTAGATCTGGTACACCTTGAGCATAGTAGAGAAGAAAAGTTAACTGAGCAGTTGAGAAAAGAGAAGTTTGTTCATAAATACAAATTGGCCTCAGCAGCATGTTATCCTTAGCTTTCTTGAGACATAAATCCCACAAGAAATCATGGATATAGCAAGTCTTTATCCCACCATTGGATCTTCTCTTGGAAACTATAACTAGACTTCTGTCAACTAGATACGACAGATAATCGTCGGCTACATCTTCCGTTTTGTTTTCACCATTATGCTTTATGAATCTCCCAGCAGTCCATGACCGGACTAATTTCTTGACAGGGATTTCATAGCCTTTAGGAAATGATCCTGGATGAAGAAAGCATGGTTTCAACCAGTCAGGCAAGTGCTCATAACCAATGGCTAAAATATGCATGAGTTGTTCTTCTTCACCCCCAACAGCCGAAGTCATATCTTCAGCAATATGCATCCACCACTCTCGCGAGATATCTTTCTGTAGAACTCCAGCTAAAACAACAATTGAAAGTGGGAGTCCACAGCACTTTGAAAGAATTTCCTTTCCAACTTCCATCAACTCAAGGGGGCATCTCGTATTGGTAAATACTTTACTCTCAAATAATCTCCAACTCTCACTATGGCTTAAATAGCGCAAAAAATGAAGGGGGCTGCTTGGGTTCAATCTCAAAGCTACTTCTTTGGTCCTGCTAGTCAACAAAATTTTACTACCAGCACAATCATTTGGGAAGAATCTACCAAAGCCCCTCAGAGAAAATGGATCCCAGTTCCTTAAACCATCAATCACAACCAAATATCTCTTCCCCTTTAAACAGTTCATTAACTTCTCTTCCATTTGCTTGTAAGTCATTTTATTTACGTTTTCTTTGGCATTGATAATGCAACTTAAGATGTCCTGCAATATATTGTTTACCTCAAGTAGACCACTATCACTAGTGGTTGCCCATCCACGTACATGGAAGTGATGAACAACAACTGGATCATTGTACAATGTTTTTGCCAATTTTGTCTTGCCAATTCCTGCCATCCCAACAATGGAAATCACTTCAAGCTGCATCTGTTCCCCGCCAGTAAGCCTGTCCAGCAGTGCAGTTGCCTCATCCTGAAAGCCTACCATCTTTTCATCCATTAGAAAGCTGAGAGTTCTGCTCCTGGTTTTCAATGAAACTTCTCCAACATCTTTGATTGTTGTCACAGAGGGACCAATTAAGGCATCATTGTGAATTTCCAAAATCTCTTTCTTGTACAAGTCAATCTGTTTTGCTCGAAAGGAAAGCTCAGGTGAAAGCTGAAAGAGACTGCCAATCTCCGTTCCAAAATTTCCTTCATTCTTTGTGAAAGTATTGACGATATAAGAGTCAACATCCACCAACATCTTCAAGACCACATCTCTAATCTCTGTGACAAAGAAAGATTGGAGTTGCTTTTGATCAATGGGGGCATGTTGAATTCTTTCCAGAAAAGATTTTATGATTTTGAGATCTTCATAGAGTGAAATCACCATTGGACTCTCTCCAGAAAGGACCGAATATGAGTTATCTCTCAGTGCCAATTCAAGGTCCTCAAGTAGCAAGTCCACAAGAATCTTAGCTTCATCCATCTGACTTCAGTGGTGGAGTTGAGATGACTAGTTTCTTTAAGCAAGTGTTGGAATGAAATAGTTGTATTCTCATTCAGGCCATATTTTTGCATTCATGGAGATTCGAAATCCAATCAAAATTGACTTTTCTTCTTCCTTTGTTAATTCGCTTCTTTGAAGAAGTAATAACAATCTGCTGAGTGTGTTATGGCCATTATCAGTTCAGACTTCAGGTACAAGCGTCCAAGATGAGTCAGCAAGGAATTGTGCAGAGTAAATGGGATAACAGAGGAAGGGTCACGTGACTGAGCTTTGTTACAACAGAATTGGAAAGTTAGTTATTTGGCGGGAAAGTTAGTTAACCAATTGCAGATCAATTCTTGTACTGAAATCTGTATAAATAAGGGGTCTGTCTAACAGAGAAGTAGCTTGATTGTAATTCAGATCTTCTTCCTCAGTAATATCTCAGTCTTTCTCCTATTCTCTACTCTTCCTCTCCTTTCTACCCTATTCTGTGATCATCTCCTTATCTCCCTCAATCTCTTTCCTTTTCTCTGATTCTTACCATTCCACTCTGTGCGAGTCATTACAGTGGTATCAGAGCTTGCGATCCTTGGATTGCAAGCTTCGCACTGCTGAAGATTATGGCAGAAGGTACTAGAATGAAGAGCTTCGAAGAGCAACTCAGGAAACAAGAGGCCAGGATTCAAGCGGTCATTGATTCCTTGGTTGCTGACAAACAGGCTATGGAGGAGCGGTTGGAAGGTAATCAAAGAGAGATGCGAGCTCTGATGGAAACCAATAGCACAGAGCTGAAAAGCTTCATGAGTACTCAACTCAGTTCCATTTTGAGAAGTCTACAAGGTGATAGGGGCATTTTGGGGAATCCTACAAGCTCAGCAGAGAGAACTCCTAATAATAGAAGTATTGGAGCACAAGGTGTTCGACAAGGTGAATTTGGTCATTCGACCAGAGGAGATGGTCAGCATTGGCCAATGGGGGTTCCCAGGTTAGATTTTCCCAGGTTTGAAGGCCACAGTCCCAAGGAATGAATCAGGAAGTGTGAAAAATTTTTTCACCTATTCCACACTCCTGAGGATCAGCAGATGGATCTGGTGGAATTACACTTAGATGGCAAGGCAAATCTCTGGTATCAAAATTTTAAAAAAGACAGAGGAGTGGTTCAATGGAAGGATTTTGGTTTGGAGGTGTGTAGAAGATTCAGCAATGTAGGTGAAGCAGACGCAGTAGAGGAATTCAGCAAGCTTAGCCAATCCTCCTCTGTGCTGGCTTATCAAGAAAAGTTCGAAGAATCACTACAAGAATTTTGGTCTTCAATGACAACTACTTTTCGTCACAAAAAAACAAAAAGTCGTCACTGATGACTTTTATTGACAACATTTCGGTTGTCACAGAGTCGTCACTGAATCTCCGTCGGTAAAAGTATACAGTGACGACTTTAAAGTCGTCAGTGAATAAAAACTTTTTTATGACAAGATATGTTGTCAATAAAAGCTACAAATACAGTGACGACTTTAAAGTCGTCAGTGAATAAAAACTTTTTTATGACAAGATATGTTGTCAATAAAAGCTACAAATTTAGTGACGACATGCTTTCTTGTCAATGATGCATGAAGCAACATAGTCAGTGTATCTATTAATTAGTGACAACTTTGTTGTCAATAAACCCCTTATCAACTGTGACAACAACTTCTTATCAATGAATAGTTTTGATTCAGTGACAACAACAATTGTCAATAAAGACAGCCTGCTTGAGAAATGCTACTCATTTACAACACCTTGCAATGTGTAGTTTGATGATTTTCCTACTACAATAATATCTAAAAAATGAAAACATCAGCAATGTTTAATAAATAACAAACGTAGACACCCGTTACAATAGGAAATGCCATAATAACATATTAAATATTCAAATGTCATAAATAAGTGCAACATCACACTACAAATAGTTTGATAAGTTTCAATAGAGCAAAATTTGCCATATAAGTCAAGGCTACACTAAAAAACAATTCCAAGTCCCAAAACATTTTCCGTGCTACCGAAACATTTTCTAAACTTAAGATAGCACTATAACCATAGTTTTTGAGTCGACACGTAAGCCGTACTGCTAATCTTCCAAACCTCTAAAATGAGCAATATATCTGCAATAAAATAGTAAAGTTATTAGTAGATGATAGAAAAATTAAAACAAGGAAAATTAGTTAAGGAGTCACCAAAAAATAAAGTGAATCATTTGTTTTAAGTCTCATCTAGATAGTGGCTATACAAAGAGTAGAAAAAGAGACATTATATGGGTAGTTCGGAAATAGAGTCTACTAGAGGATGGAAGTTTAATAACATTCATTAAGAGCCAAGGATTATATGGGCAGAATTGTTCCACTTCTTTATTTTAATAAGATGTCAAAGGACAGCAACAAACGATTCCACATTCCTATCAACCAAAAACATGGGTATTTTCCTAATTATGTTATGCATTGAACCGGAGACACTGAAAAAGTAGACAAAAATCTCTCCGGTCATCCAAATACTTTTATTGTGCAAAAGGGTGTTCCCATAAATCACTTGAACTGACCGAAAAGAAAACAAAAAAATGCAGCCAAGTCCTTTACATTGTTTCTCATGCTAAGATTCTGCTATTTTTTGCATTGGCAGGTTCACAGATTTCTCAAACCAAAACCCGAACTCAAATTCTTAATCATGCATTGCAAATGAATGACAAAAATCAGAAATGCTGAAAATCTTCATGCAAACGGAATTCAGGCGAAGCCTTTTGCCGAAACAAATGTAGCAACTAAAGAGAACTTCCTGCAACTCAAACCATTTAGCAGCCCACACAGCTCAAATGAGACATAGCCGTGACATGCAAACAAAGAGAGGAGGGAAAAACTATGAAAAGCGAGCAAGTTAGCAATCATTCATGGGTCTATTTCTGTGATGTCTCAGCTTCTATATATGCGCAGGAAGACAAACATGAGCCGAAAGAAAAAGAAAATAAACCAAATTAAGACCGTCTCTGCTCTTCCAGCTTAGCTACATTCATGCATTCCAACTCAAACGAATTCTAGTTTATTCGTTCAATTACCCACCATAGGAGCATGGAATTAAGGAGAGGTAAAAAGGAAAAAACAGCTCAACTAAATGACATAAAAGATCCTGAACTACTCCAACCCAAAACCAAAGCATGAGAACATACGAAAAGAGGTTATTTGTTCCTCTGCTGCGACAAAACTAAAAAAAACTTCAGACTTATTGCAGCAGATTTTTCCTTTCGGTAACTACAAATCAAGCAAACTGTTGGCCTCTACTATTAAATTCCCAAACATTCTCACGACATCTCAGCCCAAATGACGGACAAAACAAACGTGCCAAGCAACACGCAAAAATTCAGCAGCCGAAAAAAATGCAGCCCAGAAGAAGTGAAACTTGCAGGAAGTTTGGATAGTTCATTGCAGTCAAATATCAAGCCAACATGAACACTTCTAACAAGTCAAGAAATTTCAGCATCACACAGGACAATGAAACTATAACATGGTGTTCTAAAAATGACTAGCAAATCACAATCTCGATTGATCAAAACACCAGCGAATAAAAAAAGAAGAAAGGCTGCCCAAATGCAACAGCCTCTACCCAAAAGACCCAACCATACGACTAGACAACAAGAAGACAGCTTGGGGTGAATGCATAGGTGGTATACCTATCAAGCCACAAACGGACCAAACAGTTCAAACAAAGCCTGAACTTCAACAAGTAAAGGAAAGAAAAGGGTCTGTCCAGATTCTTGTGTGCCAAACTAAGTGCAAGGCAAACTAAATCCAAGCGACAGGATCATCAAATATTTCTCATAATTTTCGACATAGAAATCCTTGGACTTAAGCACAAAAATTCCGAAAAGAGTAACATGCAAAACTGGAAAACTTATTCACAAAGGAGCATGCAAATCTAATTCGAAGGAGCTTTCTTATTCAAACATCTGCAACTTTGCAACGGAACATTTCAGGTCAGACGCAGGTAACAAAACCCCAAATAAACAGCAACCTTTCAAGCCATCCAAAAAGTTATCATACCATACGGAGAGAAAACAGATCCTAAACAGATTCTAGCAACTAAAATGACAAGAAAGGCTGGACTGGAAATTATCACTTCAACGAGACTTCAACAAGACTAGAAATCATCACTTCAGCCGACGTTGGACTGACTGGAATTTTTCTTTTCATCCCATACGTACAAACACACACTAAACATTGCAAGACAGCAAAATAGAAACAAAAGACTCCAACATCTCTTGGCTTTGTCCCCCATAAACAAACATCAAGTAATGAGTCGTATGAAAACTCCAAACGGTGGGCTGTTCTAACAAAGTGCGGCAAAATCATTTTTCCCAAGCAGGACTTTCGGCTAGGCATTCTATCGAGCAACAAACGGGCATTAACATTTTACTAGATTTTTGCTCAAATTGAAACTATAACTAGCCCAGAACTTTATCAGCAACCCAAGACAATTTAACCCAACCAAAATCATAAGAAGCAGATACTTCAAATTCAGAAACATAGCCACGAGTGAAGTCACGGCAGACATGCTTCACAAGATTGAAAAGGGCTGAAACTTAAGGAGGAAACTTACAGTGCTTTCAATTTCTGAGGTTGAATCGAATCTGGATGATGGCAGCGCTGGTGGTGGTCGACGGAGGGAGCAAACAGCGGCGGATGCGGACTGGTGGTTCCGGCAACTCTACGGACGTATCTTCCTTGCTCGATTGTTATTGCAGCTTTGCGCCTCTGCTTTGGATTTTCTATTAGGTTCTTCGTCGTCGCTGTCGTCTTGGGCTCCTTCAGGGCCTTGATGACCAGAGCGGCAACGGAGGGAACCACCGCCACTTTGGCCTGGCGGTTCTGAACGGTGAACTCAATGGCGACGCGAAGGCCCCTCCAGTCCTTGGCTGCCTTGCTCTTTTTTTCTGTTTCTTCCCTTCGCTATTTCCCTTCTCAGATTTTCCTCTGTTCGGCCCCAGCTCCCCATTTCCTCCCTTTTCTTGTTTTTTAGCCGACCCCCCTTTATTGACGAGCCCCTGCCTTTCTCTCTGTTTTTTTTCTTTCAGCCGCAACCGAGAGCTCCTCTCTGTTTTTCCTTGTTCCCTTCCTTGCTCTGTTTTTCGTTGTCTCCCCCTCCTCCCAGATTTTTCTCTAGCCGCTGCCACTCTTGTCCTCTCTTTTTTTCTGTTTTTGGTTCAGCCTTTGCCGAGAAGCTCCTCCTCCTAATTTCAGATCTTCAGCCGCGGGTTCCTTCTCAGTTTTCCTTTGTTCGGTTCCTTCCTCATCAGATTTTCCAGCCGTAATCCTCCCTGGTTTTTTCTCAGCCGAGCCCCCCCTTGTTTCTTTTCTCGTAACCCCCAAATTTCCAGCTTGCCGTAGCCCCCTTTTCTCTTCCATCCGTCTCCCCTCTTGCCCTTCTCTCAGATTTTTCTGTTTTTGCTTCCTTACCTCTTTTTTTTCAAATTTTCCCGTCTTTCCTTTTTTTTATCCGCGGCTTGCCGCAAGCCTTTTCCTCTCATTTTCTTTTTCCAAAAATTCCTTTTTGTCATTTCTTTTTCTTTCATTTTCATCTTTTTCTTCTTTTTTCAAGTTTTATGCTAAAATGACTTAAATAAAATAAATAAAAATAATAAAAGACTAAAGAAAATAAAAGTAATAAATAAAACTAACATGAAAAATAAAATTACACCAAAAATTTGGTGTCTACATATGGTTATAACAGACTTTCATTAAAAATAATCAAATGCTATTAATAAGACATTATTGTTAAGTCAAAATCAAAGAAAATTTAGTGATGACATAATGTTATCACTAATTTATTCAAGATTATAATGACAAGAAAAGTCGTCACTAATTAAATTGCTAGTTTTTAATATTGTCAATTGCTAGTTTTTAATAGTTTTGTGAAAATATTGATAATGGTTGAGAAAATTTTGGTACATTACTGCAAGTAATAAATGTGCTTTTGTTCTTTTTCAAACATTTATTTTAATGTTTAATTTTGTTTAAAACTATTGTACTAGTATAGATTTGCAAGACAAAACTTAAGTTCTCAATAGTTAAAAAATTCATTACAGAGAAAACACAAAGTAGTAGTTGCAAAATGTGTATTAATTACAGATATTTTAATGTGTATAAATTACAGTTTATTTTAATGTTTAATTTTGTTTGAAACTATTTTACTAGTTTAGATTTGCAAGACATAGATTTATGGGTAATTTCTTTTTTTTTTTTTTGCTTTCACATATTTAATTTATGTTAAATACAAAACCTACCAGTTTCCCTTTCATAAAAATATTAGTGCAACACTTTTTGAATTTTACTTACAAACATTTATGTATTTAACATAAATTAAATGATTCAGAGTGAAATGCCCATAAAGAGCAGAATATTTGTTCATGTAATGGAGGAAACCCACGAAGAGTTGGTACTTTATGGGTCATTTCTTTTTTTAAAAAAATTTAATTTATGTTGAAAAGATAACCTGCCAGTTTTCGTTTTGTAAGAAATCAGTGTAACACTTTTTGAATTTTACTTACAAACATTTATAAATTTATCATAAATTATATGTTTGAAAGTAAAATACCCATAAAAAGTTGGTACTTTGAATAGATAATGCTCATTTGCCCATAAACTACACTCCCTGAAGGCTATTTTGTTAATTACTTTGTAGTACTTTGTTATTCCTTTGCTAATACTACTTGGCATGTAGTACAAAAGATAAATCTGGCATAAATTTCTTATTCCATTGATAAAAAGACCTACCTGCCTTATAACTATTGTAATGAAAGATATATCTTTAGAGTTTATAACAAATTATTACTTAACTTTGAGAAAATTATAAAATATTTATGCATAGTTTATCAAGATACCATTCGCAATAATAGAAATAATAAAAAATAGGGGCTAAATTGTAAAAGCTAGGGTGCCATAATAGAAATAATAAAATTGGTGTATTACATAATGGGGTTAAATTGCAAAAGTTAGAGTGCCATAATATAATTAATGAAATTGATGAATTACATATGGGGCTAAATTACAAAAGTTAGGGAGTAATAATAGAATTAAAGAAAATGGTGTACTACATATGGAGCTAAATTGTAAAAGTTAAGGTATCATAATGGAATTAATGGAATTTTTTACAACATTTGGGGCTAAATCGCAAAAGTTAGGGTGACACAGTAGAATTAATGAAAGTGACTTAAAAATAATTACTTTAAACAGTGACAATTAATTCTTGTCACTAAATCCGAATCGGTAGAGTGACAGTGATGATATTAGAAGTTGTCACTATAGAGATCATTTTAGTGACAACTTTTTCAAGGTCGTCACTGAAGACTTAGTTGCTTTGAGGAATTATGACAACTTTCCTTGTCGTCACTAAACAACCACGTTTTGTGACGACTTTTGTCGTCACAAAAAAATGTTGTCACTAATGACCATATTTCTTGCAGTGTAGTTTGTGACGAAAATAATGGGTCGTCACTAAACATTTAGTTGCTTTGATACAATTGTGACAACTTTAGGTGTCGCGACTAAAGAAGCTCCTTTTGTGACGACTTATTGTCATCACTAATAACTTTTTTTTTAGTGATCAGTGACGACAACAAAAAGTCGTCCGTAAATAACTTAAATTAATATTTAAGTAACTATGACTAGTTTAATAAATCATCAAATTTTAAAAAAAAAATTAAATTAATATTGAGGCTCACAATTAAATAAAGTCATAGTTAATAAATCATCAAATTTAAAAAAAATAAATTAATATTGAGGCTCACAATTAAATAAATGCATTAGAGATGTTCAAGTTAGTGATGATACTTATGTTGTCACTAACTACACTATAGTTTTATTGACAAAAATTGGTCGTCAATAAACATAAACAGTGACAACAACGAAAAGTTGTCAAAGAAAGTGGTAGAATTACTGACAACTTTTATCAAGTCGTCACTATCGCAAAACTCGCGCCTTCCAAGTCCCATGGCGCGAAGTAGTTTTGTGACGACAATTAAAAGTTGTCACTGAAAACTGAGTTGCTTTGAGTCAATTGTGACAACCTTCAAAGTCGTGACTAAACAACCTCATTTTGTGACGACTTTTTGTCGTCACAAAGAAATGTTGTCACTAATGACCTTTTTTCTTGTAGTGAATTGAGGTCAATTGTAATGCTCCAGATACCTGAACTGACAGAATCTTATTACATTGCTAGTTTTCTAAGTGGATTGAGGGGGGAAATCAAATCTGCTGTAAAGATGCATAGGCCTCTTAGTCTGCAAGCTGCATTTGAAATGGCTAGATGGCAGGAACACCACCTGGAGCTACTACACAAGTCCAACAGAATTTCACTCAAAAGTGCCCCCCAGTCAAATTCTTATGGTTCTACCAAGGGAGTGCAGGATCCTGGAGTTAGGCAGACTGGTACTCTGTCCCCAGATTACAGTAGGAGATCCAACTCACAACAGGTTTTCAAGAGGATCTCCCCTACTGAATTTCAATACAGGAAGGACCATAACCTGTGTTTTAGATGTGGGGAAAAATTTAGTCCAGGGCATAACTGCAAAAGTAAGGGAATCCACATGTTGTTAGCAGACGATGGGGAAAAAGGTGAGGCAGATCAGATAGCAGAAGAGGAGGAAATTATTGAGTACAAGGGGAACCAGCCTGAACATGAGGTGGAGCTGACCTTGCATGCAATGTCAGGAGAATTATCATCTAGCATCATCAAAATGCTGGGGCAGTATAGAGGACGTCAACTGACCATCCTCCTTGATGGGGGCAGTACTAACTGCTTTATCAAGAGCTCTGTGGCTCAGATGTATCCAGAGATGGTGCAGGGGCATAGGCCTTTTATGGTTAAGATAGCTGATGGCAAGGAGTTGCATTGTGACCACTGGATTCCTGGGATGCAGTGGGATATGCAGGGCCACACCTTTACTCATGATGTGTTTGTCTTGGACCTGGAACCTTATGATTTGATATTGGGAGTGGATTGGATGAAATCCTACAGTCCTATCACTTTCGACTTCAAGAAATTACACCTGTCTTTTGAAAAGGAAGGTGAGCAGGTGGTGCTAAGAGGAGACTCCAGCACTGCCAACGTCAGGATGCAGCAAGGCTCATCAGCTCACAAGTATGTCAGGCATAAGATCAGGAGGGCTCTGTAGCAGTCTTGCATGGTGAAAATCCACAACTCACAGGTAATGTATGTACCAGATTCTCTCACTGAATTGTTGGCCAAATATGATGACATTTTTACAGAACCTAAAACTCTCCCTCCTAACAGATGCCATGACCACCATATTCCCCTTAAACCAGATGCCAAACCTTTCAAAATTCCCCCATACAGATACCCTCATTTTCAAAAAAATGAAATTGACAGGCAAGTGAAGGATATGCTAGCTTCTGGCCTTATACAAATTAGCCATAGCCCCTTTGCATCCCCTGCTCTATTAGTCAAAAAAAAGGATAGGAGTTGGAGACTTTGTATTGATTACAGGCAGCTAAACAATCTTACAATAAAAGATAAATTTCCAATTCCTATTATAGATGACCTGCTAGATGAATTACATGGAGCCAAGGTTTTTTCTAAGATTGACCTGCGATCAGGTTATCACCAAATCAGAATGAACTCTGATGACATTTCCAAAACTGCCTTCAGGACTCATTCTGGACTATATGAGTTTCTTGTAATGCCTTTTGGACTCACCAATGCACCCGCCACCTTTCAGGCACTAATGAATTCAGTTTTTGAACCTTACATCAGAAAATTTGTCCTTGTATTCTTTGATGACATCCTGATCTATAGTCCAGACCACAAAACTCACCTACACCACTTATCCATTATCTTAGAGACCTTGAGAAAACACTCCTTGTATGCAAAAATGTCAAAGTGTTCATTTGGCCAGAATCAGGTAGAATATCTGGGACATATAATTACCAGTGAAGGGGTGGCAACTGATCCATCCAAGGTAGAGGCTATGATGTCCTGGCCAACCCCTACCTATTTGAAGGGCCTCAGAGGATTTTTGGGCTTGACAGGGTATTACAGGAGGTTTGTTAAGGGGTATGGGGAAATTGCCAAACCTCTCACTGAGCTGCTGAAGAAGGATCAATTTGTATGGAGTACGACTGCAGAATCTGCATTCCAGCAGTTGAAAATGACCATGAGCAGGACACCAGTATTAGCTTTACCTGATTTTTCAAAACCATTTCTGTTGGAAACTGATGCGAGTCAGGTAGCTATTGGGGCAGTTTTGATGCTACAAGGGAGGCCTATAGCATACCACAGTCAAGCGTTGGGACAGAAAAATCAGACCAGATCCACTTATGAGAAGGAGCTGCTATCACTCATCACTGCAGTTCAAAAATGGAAACATTACTTGATAGGTAACCATTTCATTATAAAGACTGACCATGAGAACCTCAAATACTTGCTGGATCAGAAAATAAATACTTCCCTTCAGCAGAAATGGCTGGTTAAATTGATGGGAATGGATTATGAGATTCAGTATAAGAAGGGTAAGGACAATGTGGTTGCAGATGCATTGTCCAGAAGAGGTGAACAGGAGGGTCCAGCAGAAGCAACTGCACTTTCTCTCACTACCATTACGCCCCAATGGCTGTCCATGGTGGCTGAGAGCTACGCTGGTGATGATACAGCTAAAGAGGTACTGTTGAAGTTGGCTATGGGAACTGATGCACTGCCTGATTACTCTTATCACCAAGGGATTCTGAGGTTTAAAGGTAGGATATGGATAGGAGCAGGCACTGAGTTAAGACAAAAGTTAATCTCCTGCTTCCATGACTCTTGCTTGGGAGGGCATTCTGGAAATCATGGAACTTATCAGAGGATCAAGAGTTATGTATATTGGCCGGGGATGAAGAAGGAAGTGGAACAATATGTACAGAGTTGTGATATATGCAAAAGGAGTAAGATTGAAAATTGTTCTTATCCAGGACTACTGCAGCCACTAGCTATACCTGAGCAAGCTTGGCAGCAGATTTCTATGGATTTCATTGAGGGGTTACCTAAGTCGTTTGGTTGCAATGTCATCTATGTGGTAGTGGATAGGCTTACTAAATTTGCACATTTTATTCCTATGACCACACATTACACAGCTAAAAGTGTAGCAGAGGCATTCTTTGATCAAAATTTTAGGTTGCATGGATTACCCACACACATTGTCTCTGATAGGGACAGGGCTTTTACTAGCTTATTCTGGCAGGAACTTTTCAAAATATTGGGCACAGAGCTCAACCTCTCCTCTGCTTACCACCCTCAAACTGATGGGCAGACTGAGAGGGTTAATAGGTGTGTGGAGAACTATCTGAGAGGGGTATGCATGGATCAACCAGGGAAGTGGAGGAAATGGCTTCCTGCAGCTGATTGGTGGTATAACACCAACTATCATAGCAGCCTGCAAATGTCTCCTTTCCAGGCCTTGTATGGTTACAAACCTGTTCAGCTAAATCTGAGGCCTGATGACACATTAGTCGCTGCAGTGGAAGATTGGGCACAGGAGAGATTGGGGTGGAATGCCTTGCTCAGAGAAAACCTGCTAAAGGCTCAGAATAGAATGAAGCAGTTGGCTGATAAGGGGAGGAGTGACAGGGAATTCGAAGTGGGGGAGTGGGCTTATCTGAAGCTCCAGCCGTACAAACAAACTTCTGTGGCCGTGAGAAGGAATTTAAAACTGGCTGCCAAGTACTTTGGACCCTATCAGGTGGAGCAGAGAGTGGGAACTGTAGCCTATAGGCTGTAGCTACCTGCAGGATCTAACATCCATCTTGTCTTTCATGTTTCATTGCTTAAAAAGTCCACTAAGGAGGCTCCAGTTAGCACTACCTTACCTACCTTGAATGCAGATGGTGAGTTTGAGGTAGCGCCCTCAGCAGTATTGGATAGGAGAACTATTTCTAGGAAGAGTCAAGAGATTGATCAGGTGTTGGTGCAGTGGGAAAACATGGGACCTGAGGAGGCTACTTGGGAGGATCTGTCGTTCATTCATGCTCAATTTCCTGCCTTCACAATCAGTCAATCCTAGAGACTAGGATTGTTTTTAGGGGGAGGTATTGTTATGGCCATTATCAGTTCAGACTTCAGGTACAAGCGTCCAAGATGAGTCAGCAAGGAATTGTGCAGAGTAAATGGAATAACAGAGGAAGGGTCACGTGACTGAGCTTTGTTACAACAGAATTGGAAAGTTAGTTATTTGGCGGGAAAGTTAGTTAACCAATTGCAGATCAATTCTTGTACTGAAATCTGTATAAATAAGGGGTCTGTCTAACAGAGAAGTAGCTTGATTGTAATTCAGATCTTCTTCCTCAGTAATATCTCAGTCTTTCTCCTATTCTCTACTCTTCCTCTCCTTTCTACCCTATTCTGTGATCATCTCCTTATCTCCCTCAATCTCTTTCCTTTTCTCTGATTCTTACCATTCCACTCTGTGCGAGTCATTACAGAGTGGTTGAACTTTCGTCCACAATGGGGCCATGGATAATTACATAGTACCTAATCATCATAAATTAGTCAATTTTTTATGGCTGCTAACTGAATTTTTATAGATTTTTGAGGTTATAGTGCACATGTAACTTGAATATTTCCTTGTAAGACTATTTCATCTTGATGACATTTGCCTTGTAGGTTGAACTTAAACATCAATCCTAGTAATGAGAAAACACATGATCCTAAGGAATTAGGCCATGACTATATCTCAAGTTAAGGTTAATTTTGCCTATACGAGGTATTCAAATACTTAGTATATTCAAAGACAGTGGAAGTTAAATACATGGTAATGTAGAGGTGAATTTCTCTAAACTTGACTTAAAAAAAGATCAAATACCCATAAGTTGGTGAATTTACTCCTGATTTACTTTGATCCTGTCTATATATAATTTTTCAGATTTACCATGATCTTTTGGCAAAATATTCTTGTTATATTCTGTTTTACTGCACGTTAACTTTACATGTTTCAAGCAAATATCTAATTCTGTGCAATGATGCAAAATCCTTCCCATTATTCTCTTTTTTCTTTCTTTTTGTTATTTGTGAAGCAAGATATTTCCATAAGTAGTAGTTTTGTTATACCATCTATATGCAGTGATAGAGAAACAGGAGCCCATCTAGGTGCCAATTGCGCCTATATGTAATTGTTGAATTATTCTAAATTCTAGATTTTATGAAATAAAAAAGAACCAAAATATGATATGAGCAGATAACCACATTGGAAGTGAAAGATGAGATCTCCATCTCTAGCTATTTCACAACTAAAACAGTAAAGCCTGTACAGTAAGCATCAGCAATCATAAAACAAATGATCCATGTTTAAACTTCTTGATCATCCAACTCGCATGCATTAATAAATTTAAAAAATGAAGTACGGCAATCTTTTTAATCTGATCTGCATGCCATTTACATTTGTTCAAAAATTTAATATCATGATTCTTGATGCCTGCAGCAGAGCTTTTGCCTTCAATTAAGCTCTACCCGGATAACAACAAAAATGTGACCAGGGACAGTATTGGGCTCGGAGAAATCATATCACGGACTGATAGACTGCCTGTGATAAACTGTGAGCAAAAGCACCAGCTACAACCAGCAGTATAGATTGATAATGAGAAGCCAGGTAATAGTCAGATGAATCAGAATCACTTCTTATTGTAAGAAACACTATGAATCAGGTTACTACACATCTGGAAAAAGGAAAAAGACAAAAAATACAGCCAATACATAAGAGGCTTTGCATGATATATACATGTAACTAAATCTAGGAAACCCTCCAGATTCTTAAGAGTACTCTTGAAAATGCTGGTATATAAAGACCTTGAAATCATCATTACCGAAGCATCTCTGTGATTCTTGGATTTGCCTTGCTGATTCCACTGCTGATTCAGATGATTTGTACACCTCGATTTTCTGCAGTGTAGGGATCTCTCCCATCTCAAATGGAATAACCTCCAAATCTAGACATCCATTTATCACTAACCACTCAAGTCTAGGGAAATGACTGCTTGAGGAAATCCAGTTTTGAAGATCCAAATGCGAGAGTTTCAAGAACTTGAGGCTGCAAAATCCATCGTCGCTTGTTTCCCACAATGGTCCTCTGAAGAAATTGTCTTTTATCTTGAGAACCTCCAAGTTAGGTAGCTCCCCTATAATTGCCATTTCTTTCCAGTTCAAATGACTACCTATTAGTGTCATCTTCTTCAAACTTGGAGGGAACATCTTTGGATGAGGAATGCTTAGAGGCATCATGCCCAAAATTTGATATTCAAATTTCAGTGCCTCAAGCTGATTTAAACCAGAAAGATTGGGAAATGTAAAGGATTCATTTCTCTCAGATAATGTGAAATGAAATCCCAATTTTCTGAGGTTGGGAGTGCTTGCAAGCAAGTTTTCTACAGAATTTAAAGGACATAGTTGAGAAATGGTTTGCAACTTACCCAGTATGGGTGATAATGCCCTCCAAAATTGGTGAAGTACCAATTCCTGTGAAATTTGAAAATGTCTCAAGTTCACCATCTTCAGAATGTCAGTAGTTAAGGTAACTCTGCCTCCTTTATCTCCATCAAGGATGAAAGTCTCAAGCCTCCAGAGTTCAAATATTGATGGTGGTAACTTCTCAATGCGGTCAACCCGAAGTGCCAAGTACTTCAAATGAAGTAACCGTGCTACCATCTCAGGAAATGATTTTAGATTGATATGCCTCATATCCAGTGTTTTGAGAAGTTTGTATACTGGCAATGTATCTTTGTTAAATACTTTGCCTTGATTGACAAAATGAGAATTATGGAAGTGGAAATATTGACAATCAGAAAAAGTACGAAGACTGTGAGCATCATTTTGTCTACACTTGCAAATGGGCTGCAGAAACTTCTTTTCCTTACCCCTCCTGTGGCATAAATCTCTCAACAGATCATGCATACGACAAGACTTTATTCCACCATCAGGTCTTTTCTTTGCAGCTATGAGAAGGCTCCTGCTGATGAGATCTATCAGATGATCCTCTGCCGTATCTTCCAACTTCTTATTCTTTTTGCCTTCTTCAGGTAACACATCCTCCAACTGCTGTTCATCAGTGTGCTGAATAAACCCTTCAGCAATCCAAGACCTTATCAGCCTCTTCACAGGGATTTCATAATCTTCAGGGAATGATCCAGCATAAAGAAAACAAGATTTCAGTGAAGACGGCAAGTGTTCGTAACTCAATGCTAGTATATCCATGATATTCTCTGGGCCATTACTAATAGCAGATCCTATATTTTGAGCAACCTGTCTCCACCATTCTTGTGTCTTGACCTCCTTCACAAGAAGTCCACCGATAACAACAATTGCAAGAGGCAGGCCCTTACAGTCTGCAACGATTTGATTCCCTATTTCAACCAACTCAGCAGGGAAGCTCTTATCAGGAAATACCTTCTGCTTGAAAAGGTCCCAACTTTCATCACGAGTTAAAAACCTCAAACGGTGAGGGGGACTACTACTAATTCTAACTTTTGAAGCCACATCCTCATTTCGAGTAGTCATCAAAATTCTGCTACAATTGTCATCCTCTGGAAAACATACCTTTATCTCATTCCACACTTCAATGTCCCAAATGTCATCTACCACAATCAAATATCTGTTTCCCTTTAGGCACTTATACAACTTCTCTCCCATGTGCTCATCACTCATGGAAAATATTGGATCACTTTCATTCAAGATGGAACTTAAAATATTAGAGAATAACTCTCTTTTTTCACAGAACTGAGAAACCGATGTCCATGCACGCAAATGAAAATGATTAACAACAGCTGGATCATCGTACAATCTACGTGCCAAAGTTGTCTTACCGATTCCTCCCATCCCAGTGATGCAAATCACTTCCAATTGTTTTCTCCCACCAATAAGCTTGTGTAGCAGTTCTCTTGCCTCCTCATGAAGTCCAACCACTATCTTTTCCTTTATAAAAGAACTGGGATTGTGTATCAATGAAATTTTGACAGAAGGCTTTCCAGCTTTATCAGGTGCATCATTGCCGTTGAAAGTAACCAAAACCTTTTGCTTCACAGACTTGATCTTCTTCAACAAAGGACCAATCTTCCGATAATATTGGTGGAAGGGCATCACGGAATTGAAAACCAAAGGGAATAGAATGAAAAAAAACTGAAGCGTAATAAACAAAAGAGCATGCAGAAGGTAATAACCAGAATTCTGAGGGAAATTTATAAAAGATTGGAGGAAGCCCATCCCAGCATTCTGAAGGAATTTTCTAGAATAGTGGAGGAAGACTGTCCCAGCATACTGAATCAAATTTCTATCAATACATTTGAAAAAAAAGATGAATAGATAGAAAGAAGCCAGCAGATGGAAGGCGGTCCTAATTCTAGAATATTGGAGGATGCCCATCCCAGAAAACTCAGCCAAATTTCTGAATATACATATGAGAAAAGAGCCCGAAGCCAACCGAAGGACGTAGACCTCTTTTAAAAATCTGAAGTAAAAATAGCCAAAGATGCCATCATTTTTTATGGTTCCATATCTATAGTGTATATAAGAGTAAACCCCATCTAATAGTTGATCAACCAAAGAAGTAATCTCATTGAGCAAACCTGCAACAATTGGATGGTCACCAACGGAATTTTCTTGAACCCTTTCCAGGAAAGACATCAGGAATGTAAGATCTTTGCGAAGGGATATCATTTTCGTTTTGTTAAAACCAAAAAATTGATCAATGGATCTTTGGTCTTGCATCAGCCAATTCAGGTCGTCCTGTAGGAATTCGATTATCCTACGAGCTTTAACAACTTTAAGATCAAACTGGTCATTCCCTGTGTTTGACATTGTTGCAAGCAAAGTTTTGGTAGCAGGATAGAGAAAAAAAAAATTGTTGGTATAATTGTCAAATTGTCCTGGACCGACCTCCTATCCGGTACATATTATATAACCAATTTTGCTCAACAGCCCTTGTAATTGTTTATTGACCAAGGTTAACTGAGATTGGTCCCTCAAGTTTCATCATCTAAAGGCATATTTAATTTCATCTAGTAGAAGATAAACCAGCCAGCTGACTCCTGGGCCACACGCACCATCATCTCAAAACTAAGTATGCTAAAAAAAAAAAAACTTTTTTACTCAGATTGATCGGTGAATAAAAATAATTGAGTCATGAAAAGTTCCCCAGTTTTTTGAATAAAATTATAAAATTCTAATTCAGCTAGTAAAAACGTTTTTTTTTCTTTTTTTTTTTTCAGTTTAGCATCTGTAATATATAAAAATTACAACAATACAATTATACTATTGGACTATTTGGGAGAGTAGGTAAATTGGTATAATTAAATATATATATATATATATATATATATATATATATATATATATATATTTGTAGATTTAGTCAATGGAGAAGCTTTTGAATTTAAAAAGATTATCAGTGCAAATAATTAAACTTACTTAGCTGGCATGAATGAAGTTAATGAAAAAGAATAAATTGTTTTATCTCGTAAATAGAAGGTTGCAACAATAATTATAGCTTTTTCGTTTTTAATCAATCTTTGCTTCCAATTGGGTTACTCTTCCAAATTTTCAGCATTGAATATCACCTCCCAATTGTGATAACAACTGCGGGGTTTCAAAAGGGCAAAAGAGGCCGCCATGGTTGGATAATCTTAAACTCTGCAACGCGTTGCAGAACTAGATTTAAAGTATATAATATGTTAGCGTGAACCAATTTCAGCTTTTGCCTGTGGCTCTCGTTCAAAGATAAGTTTCGGTTCCTTCTTTGGATGTGACGTTCAACAAGAATTAAAGCTTTTTTTATCCTTGTTTTCATTTGGGCTATTCTTCCAAACTTTCGGTATTGAATGTCACCTCCCAATTGTGATAACAACTGCGGGGTTTTAAAGCAGAAAAAAGGAAGTTTCCTCTATGGCTGGATAATCTTAAATTCTGTGTTGCTCAACTAGAGTTAAGTCTAGTAGAGTTAAGTATACAATATGCTGGCGTAAACCAACTTCAGCCTTTGACTGTGGATCTTGTTCAAAGACAATTAATGTTTTGAAACTCGGATCATTAATTGAACCAATGAGGTGTTTGAATCACGATTCAATCACTGGGACTGATTCAACTCCAACTCAATGAATTTTTTTAAAAATAGATTATATAAATATATGTGCACAAAATAAGATATCCAATGAACTAATTCAAGACTTCATCAAATAAAAAGTTTAATATTTTTAAAGAACTTGGACTTTCACAAATCAACTTTTTAAATGATAAGTTCAAAAAAATAAATTTTATCTCAGTTGTAAAAAATAATCTTAAATCCTACCCAAAAAATACCACAATATTCTGAAATTAAACAAAATTCACGTCGTTAGGAATTTGACACTTTGACTTTAAACTTTAAACTATGTTTTTGTGACTTACAGATTGCAAATTTATTAAATTAAAAGAAAAAAAGAAACTTGGAGCTTGGAGAAAGTAAGAAAATTGGAGAGTAGAGATGAAAACTTGATAAGAGGGTAAGTGGATATGGCACTTAGTGATTAGCCTTTAAGATTGAGGAGAACCCATTCTTTTTTTCTTCTTTTTCAATTTAATGGACGAAAAAAAAAAAAGTTAGTTCAATGGTATGAACCATTTCATACGGTTCTCACTGGTTTTAATTTCAATCAACTAAAAATATGAATCGGAGCCGATTTATAGTCTGAACAGTCAAACCACAGACCGTGGATTGCAAACCGGCCGGTCCAGCCATGGTTTCAAAATTCAAATATAAGTTTTGGTTCCTTCTTTGGATGTGACTAGGGGTGCAAACGAGCCGAGGTCGAGTCGAGTTTTGGCTAATCGAGTCAAACTCGAGTTAATTTTGTGAAGCTCGAACTTGAGCTCGAGCTCGACGAGCTCAAAATATCAAGCTCGAGCTCGAGCTTAAAAAATAAAAAAAATAATTATTATTATTTTATTTTTAAAAAATAAAAAATAAATATTTATTTTTAAAAATGAATAAAACAATAATTTTTTTAACAAATAATAAAATATTAGGGATATATATGTAATTTTACTATTAAAATAAAAAATAAAAAATATATATATAATTGACAACGAATTTAATGTTTTTGAGCTCGAGATCGACTTAATTGCCTCGAGCTCGAGTCGAGCTCGTATTCGAGCCGCTCGCAATCGACTCGCGAGTGGCTCGATTCGCGAAACACCCCTAGATGTGACGTTGGACTGGGCCATATTGTTGCGTATGTGAAAAAGAAAGATGTTCCAATTGTTTTGCTATTCAACCGACCAAGCTTAGTAGTTTTGTGCAAGTGAAATAGACTTTCCTGAGGGAGGGGAGGAGATGGCTTCTTCTCTGATGTAACCAACCAAGGCTGGGGCGGAAACGTTATCAATTTCAACATCATCGTCGATTCCTGAACAACAGCTCCAGTCTCTCCCATGTCAGAATGTGACCAATGGAGGACCTCTTCATGTCCTGAACTTTATTCATGTCCGATCTCAATGCATCACCATCTCCCTTGATTCGAACTACGCTAACTGAACTCTCGGAACTACTTTTTTTGAGGGAGGTTAATTAAAGAGAAAAGGGTCAAGGAGAGGATCCAATTCCAATTGTCCAGCATTGCACAAGCCCAAGCAAACTCAATATAAGGGGTAAATTGCTAATAAAGTTCATGTAGTGTTGCATATTGCCAGCGACTTTTCTAACATTTCAAAATATCCACGTAATTTCTCTATAATTTGGTATAAAGTAAAAAATTGGATGTAAAGCAACTCACTCTCCAAAATCACAGATCATGAATTTATAGCATCCACTTAACCACTATTGTTTTGCATAAATAGTCACTTAACCTCCTGCAATTTTCCTTATATCCATATTTCCGTTATAGTTTTTTTTTTTAAATTCTTTTTCCTAGCCGAGGATGGATGAAATTTGAGCAACGAGGTGAAGAAAGGGAGATTAGCTTATGGTTTGATGTTAAAACAGAAACACGTGTTATGAAATTTTAATATCCACTTAACCCCCTATCGTTTCACATAAATATTCACCTAGCTCCCCATAATTTTGCATATATTTGTATTCCCCTTGTGGATTTATGGAACCTCTTTTTTTAGTACTTAAGTAAATGTTTTGTTGACATTTCAACTAACAACATTACAAAGGCTACTTTCTAGTTAAGCTTTCACTTTGTCTAAAACTGCAGGAGGTTGTATAGATATTTAAAAATGGTAGGAGAGTTATGTGATAACATTGCATACCTCAGAAAGATTGTAAAGCTAGGTATCCGGACTTGTTGCATGCGTGCTGCTAGGTTGTAAGGAAAATTACTGGTGCTGTTTCTTTCTGGAATTCTTTCACGTTTCATGTGGCTTTGTACTCAATGTAATTCACTAAATCAACTTCAAATTCAGTCGTGATTTTTTTTTTTTTAGTTAATCGAATGTAACAATCTAATTTAAGAGTCCTATGGTTTCTTTTTTCTCGACTTTTCTGGTGGAAGTAATTTTCATCCCTTGAAATGGAACTTTTCATCCAAGATTTTTTCTAACAAAATTTTTTAAGGGCAAATTCCACTTTACCCCCTGTGATTTAGCATTTTTTACATAACCCCATATGGTTTCAAAAGCTATACATAACCCCCTTATGATTTGGATTAAAATGTCAAAGTGACGGGAATGATCATTCATAATGGCATCACCTAAAATGTCAAAAATAGCCTTATGTAAAGTTGAAATTTATGTATTAACCAAGGGGGGTTATGTGTATATTTTGAAAATCATAAGAGAGTTATATGGTAAAATATAAAAATCATACCGGGTTAATGTGTCATGTATTTATAAGGGTAATTTCGACATTTTTAGAAGTTCCATTACGAGTGACTATTTCCGTTACTTTCACACTTTAATCTAAACCATGAGGGGTTATGTATAACTTTTGAAACTATAGAGGGGTTATATAAAAAAGGGCAAATCACAGGGGGTAAAATATAATTTACCCATTTTTTAAGCAAAGGAGGGGTAAGATTTAAGTAGGGTGGGAGTAAAGAGATTTGAATCCAAAATTTCTAAATCCTAATGTTGCAATCTCACTAGACCAAGACCTCCTTAGCATCTAAGAGTTTGTTTTGTCTTAATGCTACTTCTTGCAGATAATTGGTGGCGGAAAGAAAAAAGACACAGAACGTTCAAAGTTCAAGCTACCAACTTGCTAACAAATCAAGTTCTAAAGGCACAATACGTAAGAATAAATACAAAACTTAAGAGTCTTCAAAGTTTATAAAGTTGTAATACGTAATAAAGTCTTCTAAGTATAAACCAATTTTCAATATTTAAAGCAAAAAAATTCTCAATATTTAAAGGTTTAAAAAAAAGTCTAATATTGTCATACACAATAAAACAAAAAACTTATAAGTTTCTAAATTTTCAAATTTAAAATTTTAAACTAAACTTGCAAGCCCGTGCAACCATGCATTTTACATACCTTCATTTCTCTCTTTATTTTTTGGATTTGTCAAAGAAAAGCAAGAACTTATCACCAAAAAATGATTAAAAAAATAGCAAGAACTAGGATGATTTAGTAATGTTAAATTACTATAGGGTTAGCAAGTCAATCTACAGGTTAAGTCAACCCAACCCATTACATTTGTGCAGTTAACAGGTTGACCAAACAATAGCTCATATAAATCCAAGTCATGTTAAACTTGTTAGTTACGAATCATGTGAAACTTGTTAATTTTGAGTCATGTTTGATTTGTGTTGTCATGTTGTACTAAAAATTATCACCCCTACCTAATCACTACTTGGAAACCTCTTTTGAATTACTGCAGACA